ATATTGATAGCATCCAGATTAAGGAAAAGCAATCTACCACTAAGCTGTGTCTAGGATATACAAATTGACTGATTTCCAACCTGGAGTGAGTCATTCTTTCTTATGCCCCTTTTAAGCAAACATTATTTTGTTATCAGCTTCATCTATTCGATGAAGCAACAGTTCCACCTCTGGTATTTCTCTCAAATTTTTCTAAAGGTACATGATTTTTCCAGAACCTATTTGCTTTGAGTCTAGATAAAACAATTCATAGCTTGACGGCCGTTTCTGCTTTGCTACTGAGACAAAGTATATGAAGTTGGAAATATTAGGTATGACTCTTCAGCATATACAGCACTTTATTGCTACGTTAATACATGCTAAATGAAAAAATAAAACTTGAGCATATTTTAGGAGTATTAAAGATAAAAGTTTTCTAAAAAATTTTTTTATCATTATATACTAAGATACCAGAAGATATCTTGGGATTTAGGGCCGCTATTTAATTCCCATTAATGTACACTCAGATGACTAGCTCAACGCTTTAAGGTCTTTCCATCATAAACCCTCATATATCATTTAGAATACTTAATGGTATTTACTTCCTTCACTTTCTTTCTAATTCATAACCAATACTTCACTAAAATTAATGGCCATCGAAATGTCTTTTCAGAAGAAAGCTATTTCAGGGGAACAGATGTTACTGTGTGCAAAAGAAATATTTCCATTATGTTGAGTGGAGAAAGTCGAGGAAATCTGTTCCTACATGGATAGTTGAGGTGATAGGCATCTTAAGTGCTTTTTCATATTCAATAATTTCACAATGGCCTTTACTTTAGAAATTCGTTTCTATGTGAAAAGAATCACCTCTTTAAATTTAAGGCTAACTCCATACCCAGACTTATCTACACACTATGGCCTGTTGTTACAAGCAAATTCTCAAATGCCTAGCTGGCTTCATATTAAAAAGAATAATTAAAAATACTGATGGCTATGCAAAGCAAATGATGTCCTTAAACCTTATGTTTAAATACTTTCTAATATAAGTTTTTTTGGATTATTAGTCCTAATACCTTATCGTGAGCAGGCAAGAATATTTTTTATAACTTGCTTATTTGTCTTCTCTATTCTCGACTAATTATCTACCTTCATTCCCTAGACACCCTATTGTTGAGAATAATACTAGGCAGGCTTTGAAACTTTTATCCTAAACCTTAAAATGGTAGTCTTTTGAGAATTCGAGAATTATTGAAAGTTTTCTTTATACACTTAAAATTTAGTTGTTGGCAAAATATTCTGCCATACACTTTTCAAATATTTTCATTTGTTCCATCCATTTAAACCACCCATTTTGCTTTCCACTTCTTCTACATTTAATGACTTATTTAGATATTGGAGCTTGCGACGTGATAGTGGTTTGTCTTGGCACTGTGACATTATCCATCAGGATGGATGACGATGATTTACATCTTCGTATGACTCCGATTGCGGGTCCTTGTGTTTCGAATTAAGTCCCAAGACTAGAATAAAACTGCTCTCATCCAGGGTGATGAAACAAAAGAATAAAAAGAATGACGCGTTCAGGGCCCAAAAATATATTTGCAGGTAACATTTTACTCTCTTCGAATAATTTAATTGAAAGATGGATGGTTGATGCGAATAATTTGCACACACAAAGTTGGATACTACTGATATCCTATAACTAAACAACAAATCCAGATCATCCAGATTAATATGCTAAATGATTGATATATAATTCTAATAAAAATAATGTGATAACTTGGAGAAATAAAACTCTATTCTCTACTTAATACCTATATGAAAGAGTGAAGATAAAAATATATTTATAACTAATAAACAAAACAGGCTTAAAAGCGCATAAGATAATATTCTATACGCGAAATTGTGATGGATTGATTTACAAGAAAAGAGAGTTAAAAGGTATTTATGCTAT